TGCAAAGCAAGCTCAGGGTGGATCACAACGTCACCACGCAGTCTGAGCACAAGCAAGAAGGCCACAAGGCCAGTTCACATGCAGAGATATATATGTACCAACAACAGTACAGTGAAATCTACCTACAAGAACAAGCATGCAGGAATACATATAAATCATGGTACAAAACAAAGCCTACAGCAAGTGAGGAAGCGTGGGCACAAGGCCTAACAAAGTGCAGAAACGCTGATGATCACCAGGCGGAAGTGCCTTGATGAATATATCAGCAGTGTTGGCCCGAGTGGCCACGTAGGTAAGACGAAGCTGGCCACGCTGCTGCAGCTCTCGAGCAAGAAAGTAACGGAGAGCGATGTGCTTCGTTCTGTGCTCCAGTCTGTGCTCCTGACACAAGGCAATGGCGGCCTTGTTGTCGACGTACAACACTGGAGGAGAACGAGGCCGCTCTCCCAAGTCAGTCAGCAGGTAGGTGAGCCAGCGAAGCTCCTGTGCAGCCATGGCTGTGGCGTAGATCTCAGCCTCACAACTGGAGCCGAGAACTGAAGACGAGCGTGTAGAACGCCAAGAAACTGAACCAGAGCCAAGGCTGAAGGTGTAACCCTGTGACGACCGCTGCGTAGCCTGGTCGTCAACCCAAGAGGCGTCCGAGTGACCAGTGAGGACAACGTCACCCCGTCCTCCAAGCAACGAGCCCCATGCCCGATGTACTGCACAAGTAGCGTAGTACCCTCTTGGCAGCATCCATGTGCACCTTTCGGTGCCGACCAGGAGCCACGTAGCGAGCCAGAAGGCCAAGAGGGTACGCAACGTCAGGACGAGTGCAAGTCATCAGGTACATGAGGCAGCCTACTAACTCTGGGTAAGGACCACTCGGCTCTACGGACTCGTCCGAAGGTGGAGCTGAGAGCGAGTGACCTGTAGCCAGAGGAGTGGCCTGTGCTGAGGACCAGGTGAAACCGAAGCGCTGAAGGACCTGCTGCACCATGTGTGACTGAGTCAGTGTGATGGTGTGGCGTGCTCTGTCCTGGGTGATCTGCAAGCCAAGGTAGCTGCGCAGTTCACCCAGGTCTGTGCACGTGTGTCTCTTCTGCAGCTCCGACTTCACCAGGGCGAGAGCCTCAGTGTTAGCAGTGGCAAAGACCAAGTCGTCGACGTACACGAGAACGTAGAACGGCGGCAGCGAAGTGTCGGTGCGCAAAAACAGCGACGGGTCAGCAGTCGACGGAGCAAACCCAAGAGCCGCAAGTGTCGTCCTCAGTGTGTCGTGCCACTCACGTGGCGCCTGGCGGAGACCGTAGACCGGCCGCCGGAGGCTCCACTGGGTACCAGGAGGGAACGACCCAGTGAAGCCAGGAGGGCGGCGCAGCCAAATCTCCTCGTGCAGGCTGCCCTGTAAGAAGGCTGTGCTGAAGTCAAGAGAGTGAAGCTCGTAGTCACGCTGAGCGGCAAACGTGCAGCAGCACCCGAAGAGTGGTCATCTTCGGGGTGGGGGAGAAGGTCTGGAAGAAGTCAATTCCCTCTCGCTGACTGAAGCCTCGAGCCACGTAACGAGCCTTGAAGACAGGCGGAGAACCTGGCGGCCGCTTCACCCTGAAAAATCCACATGCCACTGACAATGTTCGCCCCAGGAGGGGGAACCTCGTCGACGTAGGTGCCAGTGGACTTCCAGGATGCCATCTCTGCGTCCATGGCTGTCTGCCACTGAGAGGAGTACTCACCCGCGATCGCCTCAGCGTAAGAGCGCGGGGTAGGGATGTCTGGTGCATCCGGGTCTCCCTCAGGGGCAAGCAGCATGGATACGAGATGAGGCGCAGCGGCTGCAAGACACTCAAGGTCCTCCTGCCTGTCCTCAAGGACGTCCGTGCCAAGAGCACACTCACCCCCCGACGGACGGAGGACAGACAGACGCAGACTCAGCAACAAGACTGGCGGCGTAGTCTAGACGACCGTGAGCAGCAAAGGCAACAAGCTCAGTGACTAAGGCAGACGCAGCAGCAGACTCAAACGACGGGTCAGTGACAACAGTGGCAAGCAGACGCGTGACAGTAGAGTGCTCAGCACGAAACCGGTCAGACGCAGGGTCAGCAACAACAGGCAGAGAGGAGGCAGGGGGAGGCGGCAGAGGAACACGCGGTGAAGGAGAGGAAGGACGACGAACTACAAGGGGGAGGGCCGGAGACAGCCGGCTGGCTCTGACGAGGAACACGACTACCGGAACTGATAGGGGAGACAGGACGCGACACAGGCTCACGACGCTCTGCAAGGCCACCAGGCTGCTCTGTGTATGGAGAAGGAGCAGGCAGCGGGGAGCCAGGCTATAACGGGAAGACCAGTAGACGAGGGAAGACTGAGAACCTGGCGAAGTGCAGAGTCAGGTGGTGGCTGAGACGACGGAGACGGCGGAGCATAGAACAGGCGCGGCTGAGCAGTGCCACCCAGCACGAGCAGCACCAGCCCCACCAGCAGCTCCAGCACCTCTAGCAGCTCCAGCAAACCCCCAGCAGCTCCAGCACCCCCAGCAGCTCCAGCACCTCCAGCAGCTCCAGCACCTCCAGCACCTCCAGCAGCTCCAGTACCCTCAGCAGCTCTAGCACCGCCAGTAGCTCCAGTACCTCCAGCAGCCCCACCACCAGCCCCAGCAGCTCCAGTACTCCCAGTACGAGCACCTCCGGGACCAGCGACACCAGCAGAAGAACCTCCAGCAGGAGAGCCCTGAGGTGCAGAAGTGGGACGCCGACGGCGACCGTACCAGACGTGCAGCTGCTGGGGGGTGAGGGGCACACTGCGGACGAAGACGCTACTCCCAAGGGAGACCGCATAACAGCAGTCTCAGAACCCTCAGGCAACTCACCCCCAGACTCAGCACCTCCAGACGCAGTACCGCCGAGACGCAGCACCTCCAGGCTCCTCACGCGCAGGCTCAGCACCTCCAGGCTTCCACACGCTCAGCGCCCCCAAGCTCCGCACCCCCAGGGACAGCACCACTACGCAGCAGGACCGGAGTCACCAGTGACCTCAACAGGCGCAGGCGCAGGGGGGTCGACCTGAGAGACACCTGAAGGTGCAGGACCTGGCGCGGGGAGGGGGTCTACCTGGGGAGGACTTGGGGCGAGAAAGAGCGGCGGGGGGGGGGGGGGGCAAGGAGCAAGTGGCGGTAGGGGAAGAGGCGGTAAAAGGGGACGGACTCGTCAAAAGGTGACGTCCTGAGACGCAAAGACACGGCGCGAGGCGGGGTCGTAAAACTGCCAGCCAGGCGCGTCAGGGACAAAGCCAAGGAAGAACGCAAGGGAATGGCGCGAGGGGAGAGCTTGTCCGCGGTGGTATCGCGGACAAAGGCAACGAGCACCCCCAGACCCGGAAACAGCGACGCGTCGCCAAACCTTCCCGGTCCACAGCAGTGTGGGCGAGGTCTCCGGCAAGGAGACACGGGGCCAAAGGTTGAGCTGATGCGCGGTGTACCGGACCGCAAACGGCCACAGAAAATGGGGGGCAGCCGCATGGATCATGGAGGTACGAGCGACCTCCATGACTAAGCCAATGCGGCGCTCAGCAACCCCATTCTGCTGCGGAGAGGCCGGAAGCGTGAAAGTCTGGCGGATGCCGTGCTCCGCACAGAAGGCTGCCAAGAGGTCTGAGGAGAACTCACCACCTCTGTCAGAGTGCAGACGCAGGATAGGAAAGTCCGACTGGAACCGCTCGCGGAGCTGGAGACGAGTAGCGCGGATCCAGGGGATCAAAACATCAGGGACATCCCCCTTGCGCTGCAAGGGGAAAACCGTGGTGTAGCGCGTGTAGTCGTCGACAACCAGCAGGAAGTACCGCTCGTGGCCTTGTCCACGGACGTGGGCTGGGCCCCACACGTCCAGGTGGAGAGTCTGCAGTGGAGCCTCTGTGGGAGGGAACGAGGAGGAGTGAGGAGCGGCGCGCTGCCGCCCCTCGACGCAGGGAATGCAGGGCGGCGCAGGCGAAGGAGGGAGGGGAGGCAGAGACCTGGGAAGACCAGAAACCAGGAAGCGGGAGTGCATGCTGCGTAGGCGAGGCAGGGAGGGGTGACCAAGGCGGTGGTGCCACAGGAGAGTGTCGTGCGACAGCCGGCGACACTCACACTGTGTAGCTGCCTGAGCAGACGCGTGCAACTGGGGAGACAAAGGGGCGAAGCGTGACGCAGTGGTGAGGGTGTACAGACTGGACCCCGGCGCACGAGCGAACGTGGCCAGGTGGCGACCAGTCTGGGAGCACGTGCAAATCGCCACACGCTGCCGGCCAGGGGTGAAGGTGTCAACCCCCGCATCCTGGAGGACAGCGTTACTCACCAAGTTCGTAGAGAACGAGGGGAGGTGGAGACCAGACAGCTCACCAGACGGGACCGCCAGACACGGAAGCACAGTGGAAGACCGTGCAAGCACTGGGCCCCCAGAGGGGTCAGCCAGTGAGACAGGAACAGGTGCAGGGAGGAGGGAGTGACTGTGGTACTGTCGCGAAAGAAACAGCGGGAAGCACCAGAGTCAAGTGTAAAGGTGTGCAAAGCCTGTGCAGGCGCAGTACCAAGGGGAGCAGACTCACAAGCACCTAGTGCTGCAGGGGCTATACCAGGGGCTATACCAAGATCCGGCGGCACACACAAGTAGCAGTCACCCTCAGCACTAACAGACAAGGCATACATAGCAGCAAGAATTGCCTCATAGTCAAGATCAAAGATAGGTACATCACGCCTAAACAAGTCTGCCCAGTTGGGGAACTCAGGAGCATCAGGAAACTTGGCGCGCCAGGCGTCGCTAAGCCGAGCGAAGCAGCGCTGCTCAGTGTGAAAACCTGTGCACTGGCGACCAGCGCGGGGACCTGTGCGGATGATATAGGGGCAGCGACCAGGACCCCCAGAAGCCCCACGCCCGGCATACCAGTCAAGAAGCTGCTGGGAAGTGGGGGTCTGGCGCTGACGCTGATGCTGCTGCTGCTGCTGCTGCTGCTGCTGCGGCTGCTGCTGGCCCTGACCACCAATGCCACTACCACCGCTCCCTCCTCCCCCACCGCCGCTGCTGCCCCCTCCACCGCTCCCAGTGCCTCCGCCCGCCCCCACCACCACCTCCACCGCCTCCACCCCCACGACCACCCCCACCACCTCCACCTCCCCCGCCGCCTGCACCACCGCCACCTCCACCGCCACCCCCACCGCCCCTGCCACCCCTGCCGCCCCTGCCGCTGCGACGCTTCCCACTAGGAGCGGAAGCAGCTCCGACCCCCTCAGCACCAAGGTAGTCGTGAGCAGCAGCTGCGGAGGCGTAGGAGGGGGTGAGAGGGGAGGGGGAGCACCCCTCAAAGAGGGGAGAGCGAGGAGTGCCATGAGCAGCACCTACAGCGAGGATGTTCTTCTCTGCTGCGAGGAGGTGCTTCTCGAAGTCGTCGACAGTGAGAGTGGTGGGGTCTAGCGCTAGGAAGTGGTCCCTGACAGAGCTAAGAGTGTCAGGGAGGCGGGTGACGAGGAAATAGAGAGTGAAGTACATCGGGGGGGGGGGGGGGGGTTGCGGCGCAAAACTCGGCTGAAAGGGCGGCACGAAAGCGAGAGTCAGTAGCGCGCAGGTGAGAAACTAGGTCCTCAGCAGTGGTGAACGAGGAAAGATCGGGGAACAGGTACGGTAGCATGAGTCGACCTATGGCTGCAGTGGCCGGGGAGGAGTAGCGCGCAACTACAGTGTCGTACAGTGTCTTAGCAGTTCTGTGCTGGCTGAAATGCGCTCGCTCAGTAATCGGCAGGCGGTTCCTAATAGCTAAGCGTGCAGCAGCATCACGAGTCTGCCACTGGGAGCGTTCTAGAGCAGGAGCATCAGCAGCAGGAGTAACGGCAGTGCCAGAGACGTAATCAAACAGGGAAACGCCCTCTTTGGCATCAGTCAGAAGGAACAGCTGGAGATCGTCTAACCACACAGTGAACTCGATGGGACGACCGTCAGGCTCGAACGCTAGAACGTTAGGCGTCGCCATATTGGCTTAAGGCAGGAGGCAGCAGGCAGCAGGCAGCAGGCAGAGGCAGCAGGCACCAGGTAGGAGGCAGGAGGCAGAGGCAGGAGGCAGAGGCAGGAGGCAGGGGCAGCAAGTAGCAGGCAGGCGGCAGCAGGCAGCAGGCAGGCGGCAGGCAGGCGGCAGCAGGCAGCAAGCAGCAGGCAGGTAGCAGGCAGGCAGCAGGCAGGCTGCAGGCAGGCGGCAGCAGGCAGCAAGCAGGCAGGCGGCAGGCAGGCGGCAGCAGGCAGCAAGCAGGCAGGCGGCAGCAGTCAGCAAGCAGCAGGCAGGCAGCAGGCAGGCTGCAGGAAGGCGGCAGCAGGCAGCAAGCAGGCAGGCAGCAGCAGGCAGCAAGCAGGTAGGCAGGCAGGGGCAGGCAGGCGGCAGCAGGCAGCAAGCAGGCAGGCGGCAGCAGGCAGAGAGCAGCAGGCAGGCAGCAGGCAGGCAGCAGGCAGGCGGCAGGCAGGCGGCAGCAGGCAGCAAGCAGCAGGCAGGTAGCAGGCAGGCAGCAGGCAGGCTGCAGGCAGGCGGCAGCAGGCAGCAAGCAGGCAGGCGGCAGGCAGGCGGCAGCAGGCATCAAGCAGGCAGGCGGCAGCAGTCAGCAAGCAGCAGGCAGGCAGGCAGCAGGCAGCAGGCAGGCAGCAGGCAAGCTGCAGGTAGGCGGCAGCAGGCAGCAAGCAGGCAGGCGGCAGCAGGCAGCAAGCAGGTAGGCAGGCAGGTGGCAGGCAGGCGGCAGCAGGCAGCAAGCAGGTAGGCAGGCAGGCGGCAGGCAGGCGGCAGCGGGCAGCCAAGGCGCGCGTAGGCAGGCAGGCGTGGTGGGCCCTAATCTAGGTCCTAAGGACCTATGCTCTATACCATGTCATAATCGTAGCTAAAAGTGGTGTCGACTATCGAGGGGGTTGGTACAAAGAAAATGAACCTAAGGGGTTG